GCGGCTCCCGCTGCCCGGCTCCGCTCGGCCGCCGCGCCGGCACTGACTCCGGCTCCCCCGCTCGGTCCCGCCGCCCGGCCGGCCCCTCCCAGCCCGCGATCCTCCCGCGGGGCGCGTCGCCCCGAGGCGAATTAGCAGAGAAAGAGACGGAGAGGGGGAGCGCCGAGAGCATGCGGAGGCGGAGGCGCCTGGGCGCGCTCGGCACAGGGCTGTAGTGGGTCTGTCTCCCCGCGGCGGGCGAGAGAGGCGGCGGTGCGCCCTCGCGCCGGGTCCCCAGCCCACCCTGCCCGGGCTCCGGCGCGCTGCGGCTGCGGGCGCGAGGTGCATGGAAGCGGCGGCTGCGGTGGAGGAGGCGGCGGCTGCCCCATGGAGTGTTACTACATTGTCATCAGCTCCACGCATCTCAGCAACGGACACTTTCGCAACATCAAGGGAGTTTTCCGAGGCCCTCTCAGCAAGAACGGGAACAAAACTCTGGTAATAGCTTGTTTCCCTCTCTCTCTCTCTCTCTCTCTCTCTCGCCCCCTCCCACCCCACCCCCAAGAGGGCATTTGGACATTTGGAGGATTGAGGTTACCGTGAGATTTTGGAGGTGTCGCGATTCAGTTTGGTTTATAATATATTAATGGATCTGTCTTGTGGGTGTGGGGTGAGAATTAGAGGTAGAAAAACGCTGGAATCTTGAGGAAGCTGGGATCCATGGTTTAGGTTGACACTTCGACGATGCTCTGGACTCCCAGCACCTCATTCCATAATGCTGGAGGTTACCAGAACGTCTCCTCATTTGAAGCAAACTGTGTCAACAGGACCTTCTTTTATTATTTATTTATTTATCTAGAAAAGAGAAGGGCCCTAACCCCGAGTGACCCTCTCACATCTTTTGGCTTAGGAAGCTGAAGGTGAATGGGGATGTGGGTGTCTCCGATGGAAGCAGGGAACCATGTGACTGGTGGCGTGGAGTAAGTGGCGGGATTGAGTGATGGTCTCCAGAGGAGTTCGTATTCCGGCTGTCTCCTGAAGGACTGGCAGCAAACTTCTCTAGTGAGGAGTTGTCGGTACTAAGCTTAACAGAGGGACTCCCAGAACCCTACATCGTCCACTTTAAGCTGTTCACTCGAAAGAGGTTGGAGAGAAGTGTGAAGGGCGAGCACTATGTCACAATAAGAGCCACTAGGAAACATGCCAGACATGCAGAACCCATGCAGTTGCTGGGAGGTTCTCACTGGACCACAGAGCTTCATCTTTCAGCGTCCTAGTAGGAAGAGTACTTCTGATTGGTGGCAGAGGATGTGCTGAGCATTGAGATAGTGCAGGGTAATAGCTCTTACTTTTTCTTCCAGATCCCCTGTTAGCTACAAAACCTCCTTGCCTGACTGGCTCCCATGTATTGTATCTTCTGAGAAGTGTACACTTCAAAAAGATACAAAAGGAAGTAGAGGAAAGGCTCCTTAAGGCTAAGTTCTGCAAGGAGAGCAGAGCTAGAGTAAAGGGGTAATATGAAAATGTATGTATCACTAAAGCCTGGGTCCCTTTTTTTTTTACAAAGTGGTTACTGAGCCTGAGAAGGTGGAGTAGGAGAAGTTTAAGGACAGACTCATTTAGTCCAAAAGTAAATACAGTATTCTTAATCTCCTTTTCTTTGCATATTTTAAAATATGATTCTACGTAATTTTTTTAAAGTGATGGGATATTTTCCAAAACTGAAAAGTTCTCTTCTAAAGTTTTAGATGAATTCTGGTATTCATTCATTTAAATGAATTCTGGTGTTGATATTATACACTTAATCTTTCTTTTTTTCCTGTGAATCTATTGGAATCCTCCTCTCAGATTTTTAAGATGCAAAGAAGCAGGGTTATTTTGTTACTTTTATTGTTGTGGTGTTGAACAAAAGAAAGTGAAAATACTCTTCTAGGGTCTTCCTTAGTGGAGTATTATGCACAGCAGTAGGCAAAGGCTAAGGGAATTATTGAAATTGTTTTGGTTCTGATTACTTTCTTAAGTAACTCACTGTGTGGGAAGATAAATATTTTGGCGTGGGGGGGGGGACTCTTCAATTTAAAGGAAGTGTGCATCAGTTTGTTTTTTAAATCAAGTTTTACTTGTGGGAAAAAGCAAATTTACTGAAGAAGATCTTTATACTTACAATAATGGTGTAAGTAAACACACACACACACAGTAGAATTCATTAAAAAAAAAAAAAAGTTGCCAACCCTGAACTTGTTAAAATTCTGATAATCTTGATTTCTTAAGTCAACTTTGGGTTCTAGTGGTGGTTCAATTTGCCTATGCCGATTTGTTTGTTGTGGGTTTGAAGCTGAGCCATTCATTATCATCCATATTGACAAAAGATAGGTTAAAGTCTAGATTTGCCAGTGTAAGTTTGGGATTAAAATGGGTGTTAAAAAGCAGCTATCTAAATGAGATGAATAAATCTAAATATGGGCAACTGTTGGGGCATAAACTGGAATAAGAAGGATTAGAAATTGCTCTTATATTTCTCTTAGTGATAGTAAAAGGACTTACAAGGACTTAGTAGCTAATTCTTCCAGATTGTGATTATAAACTGCCCAAGTATATATTTCCTGTGTAAGAGATTTACACTGAATAACATTAGGTATATTTTCATATATGGTCCAACTATATTTGAAACTATTACCTTACAACATAATATATGTCATACATTTGTTTTCTATATGTGTTCCTAGGATTTTGTTATTAAGGAGAATGAGATTTATGCCTGCCTTTAAGTATAACAGAAGAGATCTAAACATACCCATAAATGAATGTTTTTAATTAAATAGCTATCAATATTTACCTAAAAATGTATTCTTTACAACATATAGGATACTATGAGAACTTAGTGTAAACTAAAAGGTACTACAAGCTAAGTTCAGAAAACTGAACCTCAAAGTTCTCAGAATTAGGAACCTTAAGAAAAAACACAAATATTATCTTAAAAATGTATGTGTACTACATTTTGAATATTTTCAGCTAAGAATTTGTGGTATTACTTTTTAATACCAGTTTCATAGTATAAAAACTATGAGAGCATTTTTTACTTTCTTGTCTATTTGACTTTAACATATTTTGAATTTTGCCTTTAAAACATCATCACATTTTTGCATTTTGATATATGTATTAAGTTAAAAGAATTTTAATATTTCACTTTTTCTTATTTCAGGAAAGCACACTTAAAACCATTCAGGTAAAAAGTGCTTAGACTTTACCAAAGACATTCCAAATATTTTCAATTACTGAATAACCTAATGGATACTCTGAACATTTTTTTAATTCATATTTTTAAAAGATTTTATAATCTTCAAAAAATATTGAACAATTTAAGATAAGCAATAACTGTTAATACAGTGTTCTTTCATGAATTAAAAGTTACTTATACGATAAGGGTACCTCAGGCTTCAGTGACACTGATTAATTGCTTTAGTCCTAAAATCCAGAATGTAATCCTGCTACTTATACTGAAGAGATTCTCAAAATGTACAGTCTTCCCATAGATCATATTATTCACTCATACATACAATTTTGAAAAGACACTTAGAGATCAAGGCTGCTGTTAATCTTGACGTTATTTCTGAGCTTTCTAATACATTCCTCTTGACAATTTTAACTGAAAATATATAAATGTTCATTTTGCAGGGTCTTACAAGCAAAGAGAAAGGTCATTTCAATTGTCATGATTTCTGTTATAAATATTATCGTATCCGTGAGATAGCTTTAATTCCATGGAATAAGAGATAAACTAATATTTTATTAGTGCTGCAGGATATGTCTGAAAACTTATATAATTTAGTGGCAATGAATAAAGTTTACCATCCATGTATCTTCATTCTTTTTCCTTAGATTACCCCTTAGATAGAACTATTGTGTATAAAATTA